CAAATGGCTGCCTTGGACGATCAAGCAGAGCTTTGTTGCCAGCGTTCCACTGCATAATGCACATTTATAATAGTGTTAGTTTTCACATAAACCGTTGGATGAAATTACACAAACTGATTGAGCTCTATTTAAGGCTCTTGCAATTGCTTGTGTACGTGCGTGTGTGTGTGTGTGTGTGTGCACGTGTTTGGAGGAGGGTACATTGGAACTTTGTCCCCCCCAGTTTGAAAATCCTATCTGCGCCCCTGTCCTAGACACCCCTCACAGTAGGTGTTTCTGCCATGATGCTAACAGGAGGTCTTCGGGTCAACCCAGGACATGTCAGAGCGGTTATATCTCCACATAGGCCAGGGACTCGAGCTTTTTACCTTTGACTCATCTTCACACTCGCCTGATAGAAATAAAACTATTTGTTTTCGGTTTCGTGCTGACTGTGATTTAGCACCTCTCTTAACTGATATTTTTATTTTTATGAAATGATGTTGCATCCTTTAGTTCCTAACACATTCCCCATTCCACATCAATGTTTCTAATTGAAATCTTGTGTGTTCTCAAAGTGTTATCATTACTTTTCAGCTGTGTGTTTAGATATGGAATTTAAACCACAAAACCAGGAAGGCCTACATTGTTTTTGTGTTTTTGGTCTTTGGAAAGAAAGACTAGCAGCATGGTTCATTTATTTAGCTGTCCATTTAAGGCTCCAGAAAACTGCATTCAGCATTTCTACAGCTGTTGTATACTGTGACACAGATGGTAGTGAACACTCACTCAAAGGAGGTTGCGAAGTACTTCGTCACTTCATTGTTGCAGAAGTCATGGCCACAGTCTCCAGGCATGTCCTCCACTTTCCACCCATTCCCACCATTCTCCACCAGCTCCCAGGAATCCAGCTGTTCTATAAGAGAGATGTCAGTCTCCAGCTTATGATCTACCGTAATTTCCGGCCTACAAGCCGCTATCATTTCCCTGTGCTTTGAAGCCTGCGGCCAAAATCACGGTGCGGCTCATGTGTAGATTTTTGTTGGCCAACAACCACTAGAGGCACTCTCCAGCAGTAAAGTGAGACAGGCACGGCAAAACATTATGCGCGGAAGAAGACGCTCTTTGATTTAAAGCGGCACGTTTACACATCAGACATACCCTCGTCATGGAAACCACGCGGAGGAATGCATGTGCTGCAGCTGTCAAGTTAAAAGCGATCGATCCGGCCATCAAACAAGGAAACAGAGCCACCGCACGGGAGCTCGGCATAAATGAATCAATAGTGCGACATTGGAGGTGGCAGCGGGAAGAAGTCAGTCAGTGTGAAAAAAACGACAAAAGCTTTCAGAGGAAATAAAAGCAGATCGCCGGAATTGGAAAACATTCTTGAAGATTGGGTGAACACACAAAAAGCAGACGGTCGAGGTGTTTCCACTGTTTCCGCTGCGCGGATCAATACTAACCAGGCATGTTTTGTGTGCAGTTTTTATTTTCTAACCATCCAGGGCTTATTAATGCTGTGTCAGCGCTTGATCTTTTCTTCTAAACATGCAAGTGACCGGTAATAACGTGACAGTGCTGTTTTTATTTCATAACATCCAGAAATATGAATGCTATCAGTGCTGTTTTCTTTTCTAAACTTGCAGGCACCTTCACCCGTGTTCAAAATTCGTTTTGTTGAATTAAAACAACAATGAAAAACCTCCGTGTAGCGTCTCTCTGTCTAATTATCTTATGTTATGGCCGTACATGCGCTGTGCGCCGGAGACCTGCATGTGGCTGCTGCGCCGCGGCTTGTATTTGAGTGCGGCGTGTGTGTAGAAAACCTTTTTTTCTTTGTTGGTGCGGCTTAAATTGAGGTGCGCTCTATAGTCCGGAAATTACGGTACTTATGTTTCTATCTGGAGTTTACCGTTTCAGTTAAACGTTTGATTATTATTGAGCAAAGACTCTTTATATGAAACTATTTCATTAACTCATCTGAAATCATCCTTTTTTCTGTTATATTTTAGTTGTTTTTTTTACAGAAAACTTGATATGAACTTATCACAAAAAATCTAATAAATTCTGTTCAGTTTATTTATATATCGCCAAACCACAACATGAGTAATCTCAAGGCGCCCTAACCCAACCACATTCCAGTTGAACCTACAAATCAGTGCACTGAGTTCAGTTCAACCCTATATAAGGAACCCAGCAGGTCGCATCGAGTCACTGACTAGTGTCAGAGTCTTTACAGCAATCCTCATACTAAGCATGCATGCCGCGACAGTGGAGAGGAAAACTCCCTTTTAACAGGAAGAAACCTCCAGAGGATTCTGGCTCCACCCCAAAGCTGGTTTAGGCTATGTTTACAAGGGCACAAGTAATCGGAATGAACGCCTATCAGATAAAAAATCTTCATGTAAAAAAAGTCAATCAGAATATTCAGATGCGATACGGCCAGATCGGAATGATTTTCATTCTGATTTGGACTCTTGCAGTTTACTAATGCCCACTGGGCATGTGTGCAACGTCTTTCTGCCTTTGCAGAAGCTCAGGAACAAGTCTGTGTGGGTGGTGATCATTAGTACGTTATCCTGCTCTCCTGTGGCGGAGGAGCAGCAGCGTTACGGACCGCTGAGCCTGTAGCTTTGTTAGAGCCATCATTTAAAACAAAAGCATGCAGGTAAGTGTGAAGAAGAGAGTAAGAAAATAAAATGATGTGCGGACAATAGTCTTGGGTGGTATACCGGTGCTAAAAACCGGTGTTTATGTTGGTTAAGATATGAACTTTTCACATACCGCTATACCGGTGAATGGCCTAGACAACGTACAGAACGTTCGTAGTAGGAAAGTATTTCAGCGGGGACTCATTTCACTGCTACACACAAACACCACAGCGTGGTGAAACCAAGAATGGCGGCTGGCGGGACGTGTCAAGGCGACATCAAAACTTCGGACGCAGAAGAACTTATTCCAAAAAGAGGAGCCACATCTGTTGTTTGGAGGTTTTAAAAGTTCGGTCGTGGAGCAAACAACTATTATATGCTAATGCTGTCGAGCAACGGTGGTAGCTGGCGGGGTAATACCAGCAACTTGCTTCATCACCTCAGCCGAAAACACGTCTTGGAATACCAAGCATGTCTCCAGCTTCGATCTGCACCCTCCACCTCCAAGGCTAAAATGGCTAGTAGCAGTCAGAGTCAGACGTCCATTAAAGACTCGCTCGCTAAAGGGACTGTATATTTTTTTTAAAAGCAAGCGGTGGGTCGAGATAACCAACGCAATAGCATTGGATGTGAAATCATAAAGATGGTTAACTGCACAGATTATACGCAAAACATGTTCGATAAAATAAAGCAGAATGGGCTATTTAAGGCCAATCTAGTGCAGTAATTATTTTCTCATAAAAATAATCTGGGTAATCACGGCCTTGTGAAAAATACCGTCAAATACCGTAAAACCGATGTAATTAACCCTTTGGTGCATAGTGGTCACTACAGTGGACAGGTACTCAAAATTGTTATTTATTTGTTTTTGCTATTAAGCACAGCTGTTGAAGACTTTATTGCATTTGAGCCCCTCCATTTGGACTTCAGTAAGTCAAGCCAACATATGTCATGCTCAGAATGCACGCTGTCCACTGAGGTGGACATGTAATAAATTATTTGTAAATTGTAAAATTTTACAAAAAATGTTTGTTGAAATTTGTTTCATTCACACCTAAAGACGAATGAAAAAAAATGTTTAAAAAATCATGGTTGAAGATTTCATAATTCATGCATCAAAGGGTTAAAAAAAATACCATGACATGGCATTTTTGCCATACCGCCCAGGCCTAGCGGACAAGATGACGTCTGTTTACAAGTGTTTTCTGGGAAAAACAACGCTGCACATGCTCAACCAGTTTAATCTGACTGAATGCCCGGTGTATGTATACTCGCAGCATGATCGGATCATTTCAGCCAGTGTCCATGAAAACAGAGATTTGGGATTTCTGATCAACCAAGATTTGAATCGGAGAGGAAATTTAAACGTAGCTACTGTCGATCCAACGTGTTACTGGAGATCCTAACAGTGCCAAATGAACAAAGTGATAAATAACATTTATAGCTTTTCCCTGATTACTCTGGGAAATCAACACCACAAACACACACCTGTCAGCTGTTCCTGCCCTGGACCAACAGCAACATTTCCTTGGGATCTGTTCTTTTCCTTTGGCATAGCTGTCTTATATTAAACCGTGTATCTTGATTTTTCAATCCTTCAACCCGCTGTTTCACTGTCCGAGTCAAACAGTGGTCACCAGAGCAGCGGTTTAAAGCTACAGTGGAAAATTTGGAAACAAAACGAGCTTAATTTCTTTTTCATGCCACTTAAAGCTCTAACGTTGTTTAAATATTTTGTGGAGATTAAAAATAAAAAAATAAAGCGGTTCTCTCGCATTTGTCTATAATCCTCCGCCACTTTCAGACCAAAATTTGGGCCCTTGGACCACCTGGTTGTCGGCCTCGCCAAACTTCACTGGGTCATTGTGCATTTGCATATTCAGTAACAGAACAGCACTGGTGCGAGAGGTTCTCCGCTCAATAACATCAGAGAAGGAGAAACAGCCGGCTGCTACCACTTCAGCTTTAGGACAAACTACCAGAGTCCCAAAAGGAAAACCACAATTCGAAGACATGAACAACAAAACAAAAGACGCTTCGACCTAGAAAACAGTGACTATTGTTTAGCGCAGTCTCATATCGTCTGGTAATGTGGGTCTCTGGTTCCAGCAGAAGTGTCTCAGTGGACACCCGAGGGGAGGGCTGAGTGTTCGCGTTCAAAACCGAGCTTGTTCTGTAGATTTGATATAGCAGCTTTAAATGACCGCTTACTACTGTCGTATTTTCATCCCGTCCAACCCGAGTTTTCTAAAGGACTTAACCCTTATCAGAACTGTTCAGACAATAATGACAAAAGACGCCTTACCGTCCCCGTTGGGATTCTTCAGAAGGTTTCTTGTCATGATTACTGCACAGCAGGGACTGCAGAAAGAAGACAGCTATCAGGTAGGTACAGGTAGGACAATAGGTAGGCTCCTGTTTCATTTGTCCTTCCAGGAATTCCAAAGAACACCTCATTCCTGGTATTTGCTGCCATGTTGGTAAGACCAGCCCATAATTCTACAACCAAACCAGCCTTGGTCAGGTTTTAGCTGAAACAGGTCAAGACTGCAAAGCTTCATTGTCATTCTCTACAGAGTTGAACAGGATGACGTTTGGTTAAACACATCAAGTATATGGAGACAAAATACAAACCATTGTTTTCATTTAAGTGTAACAAAACAATAAGTAGGGTTGGGCATCGAGCATCGATTGGAACCGGTTCCAACTGTTCATTTTTCCCAGAATCGTTCAAAGTTTTTTATATCGATTCCTAGAATGCCAACCGGAACAGAATGCTGACCGGAAGAGGAATCCGCGGCCGATCTCCGTGAAAAATATACGTGATCTGCATATTGTGATCAATGTTTTTCAGAGCTGATCACACCAGCTGTCTGTGTGCAGCACCGAGTCCCCCCTCCCCCCACCCGGCACGCAGCGGCCAAATATAAACAAACGCGTCTGCCGAACTTTTACTCCGTCATGTAAACTTTAACTCCTGCAGCGTAGAGGAAACTTGCTAAAATACGTCAACACGGTGAGTTTGTCTCACTGCAGAAATAAAAATGCACACGGGTGACTTCCGGGTTGGCAGCGACGCGGGATGGCTGATTGAGCTTGAGCTCCTGGGGGTAGAGCAGCATTTCCCCCTAAAATTCAAATAAATCTTGAGTGAGTCTACATTTTCCATGGACAGTATGTCAGGGGGTTGCAAGAAAAAAACGAAGACGATGCAAGAACCAAAGGAACAGATATATCAAGCACAGGGCGAAGAGCACGACAGCAAGGAGAAGGCCAATGGCGGCGGTGAACAAGTGGCTACAGCTGGTACTTTGCTTGAACAACTACAATTACTAAGTCAACAAATCACCGACTTAAGGTCCAAACTGAAGTCTGACCTGGGCTCATTCAAGGACGAATTTAATAAAACCATGAAAGAGATTGACACGCTCAAACAAGACATCATCAATCAGTGGCTAACACAAGCTACGCTAACCATGCAGGATCAATGTAAAAAACTGGAGGAGGCAGACACACGAGTAGGTGCTTCAGAAACATGGTCACCTGCAGCTAACGACCCACTTACACTGTCATTAGCAGAACCAAAGAAAATGATTGACAAGATAAATGACCTGAGTCAAGAGCAAGGCGAAACAACTTGCACATTTATGGAGTCCCAGAGGGCGAGGCGGGGGACGCTACGACCGACTTGTCGAAGAGGGGACAGACATCCAAATACAGCGAGCTCACCGATCTCTCGGGCCAAAGCCTCCTCCGACACGCCTCCTCGATCTATAGTGGTCAACTTTATTCAGTTTAAAATAAATGAAAAAGTGCTTAGAAATGCTTGGCAGAAGAAAATATCCGTTCAGAATAGGCCTCTGAGCTTCGACCATGATTACACGACAGTGGTGATGCAACAACGCCGAGCCTATAAAGAGGTGAAGAGCGCGCTAAAGGAGAAAGGCATCCGCTTCCAGTCCCCTTTTACGAAGCTGCGGGTCCACTGGGAGTCGGGTCCTCAGATCAACCACAGCCCAGGTGAAGCAGCCAGAGACCTGAGGCGTCGGGACTTGGAGGTGGCGAAGCCCCGGGAATGCACAGGAATCAACACTACAGCTCTACTGGACCAGCTGGATGGCACGTCTCCATGGCAACGCGTCGGCCGGCGACTCAACGAGGGAACTGCCAAGCGTGAACGGCTCCAGGAATTTCAACACAACATGGTGTGACCTATAATTTCTCAACAATTAAAAACACATTGTTTTGTATTTGCAGACTAACTCTTTCGTTGTGGTTTTAGAAGACAATACAGGTTTACTGATAGCATTTATGTGTTTGCGGTGGCTTTTGTGTGTGTGTGTGGGGGGGGGGGGGGGGGATGCGTCCCCCCTGGGATCTCCGCCTATGCCTGCACTCTTACATTTTACAGCAGCCTGATCATCATTTAAATACATAAATCATCACCTGTATTCTAGTCCACGCTATCAGCATTACTTTAATTGGTGTGTGTGTGTGTGTGTGTGTGTGTGTGTTTTCCACTTCAAACACTGGTCTAACCAACCAGACCAGCGTGTCCATATTAGAGACGGGAACAAGCGCTGTTCAGCCAAAGTTTCATAATTTCATAAAAAGAACATTTTTCCAAGTGACACATCCCTCAGAGAGACCGGGTTTCCAGAACGCTTCGGAAATCTTACCGCATGCACCGTGGTTCTGCGCTGCGCTGCGAACCCTCTACAGATCTTCAGCTCACTGTCCACCGTGGGCGCTCCGAGCCGCGCTGAACACAGAGTCCAGTATAAAGCTCTGATGTTCTGATGGGAATCGTTTCTTGATTGATTTAGTTACCTCTGCGATGTGCGTAACGATTAAAATGTCAGCTCATCTGTGTGTGCATCAGTGTGCGTCGGGGTAATTCTTTCATAACAACCAACATCCTTGAGTTTATCCGTCCAAATAAAAGTCAGATGGAAATATCTGTAAGCTGCCATTTAACTGTTTTGCCTTCTTGTGAAGATTGTTGCAAAGAGAAACAATTAAACCTGATTAACCCCAGAGCCACGCGCACTGCGCTGTACTTCTGACTGTAAATGAGGGGAAACGATTTAATCGGATGTCTGTGAAGGTTCTCAGTCATCCAGGTCATTGTAGTCTAAAGAGCTTTGAAAGAAAAGCGTCTGGACTTCTTTGAGTTGCTTGAAGACGTTTCACCTCTCATCCGAGAGGCTTCTTCTGATTTAATCGGATCCTTTTCTCTTCAACATGGTTTAATGTAAAGTTTCATTCAGGTGAAACTTTAGTTGCACCAATCTAACGAGACAGAGCCTGGATTTGTATTCTGAACAGTTTAAACATGTTTAAAACGGAGACGTGCGTGACGCGTCTAAAATTCACACTAAACTAACAAAATGAATAACATGAAATTATTGTAGGCACAGACAACCCCCACACTTTTGAAAAGCTTGCAACGCGTCTGCCTGCTACTCACTAGTCACTCACAACAAATTAGCTTTATAAACTGCAAAAGCCTGTTTTTGAGTTACTCACAGGGCGTCTTGCTCGGTGTCCTCTGCAGCAGAGCCAGTGGCTGGTAGACTGACAGGAAGGAACGCTCACACAGCCTGACTCAGCAGATTATCACATCACGCACTCAGCACTGCGTCAGCATCAGATGCAGCAGTGGGACAAACCGGTTCTGCACTCTTACCCACCGCTGGGTCATTTAGGAAGGCTTTAAAAACAGCATCTATGTGTAGGTTCAGCAGGAAAGATGTGCTTCGTCATTCAGGCAGAGGGATTTTGGGGGAAATATTACCAGAAATCTGCTGCAGGTGACCCACACATTTTAAACGGTAGAGATGGAAATGAATGAGTGTCCATTTAAACTAGAGATTAGTCACCAGTTGTAGGCAGAATAAAAGAACATGAATAGTTTCTAATGCTCCATGTGAGCTGACAAATATACTTTCTGTGGCAACATGGAACAAATACTGACTAGAACATACATCCTTCTGTTCCTCAAAAGCTTCTGCATGTGTGCAGCGCACCACTGGGAACTATGGCTCACAAAAGCATCCCCCTCCAGGTAAAACAAGAAATAAATGAAGTGCACCCTGTAACTGTGGCGTGCACACCTGTTGTTCTCCTGCCAGCTTTAGGGTTTCAGCTGGTTTACCCTGCAGGCGCCATCGGACTCACGATTAGTCCTCATTTACAGATTTATGCTCATTTGTTTCTGCTAATCCAATCCAGTTTTATTTATATAGCACATTTAAAAACAGCATGTCAGCTGACCAAAGCACTGCACAGTTAAACCGAAACAGCCATTTAAATTCACATACTTATACATAAAACACAAATTAATAACTCATAAAAAAGAAACACCTAAAATCAAAAGTTAAAACAGCCAATAAAAACAAGTTAATAAAAGCAGAAGTCAATGAAAATTGTAAGGGATGTAGGGGGGGGAGCAGCTCTGACAGGTATAAGGGGGCCAGACCATTCAGGGCTTTGTAGGTAAAAGTTAGAACTTTGTGTTGAATTAGAAAGTGCTCAGGAATCCAGTGTAGATCAGCCAGAATGGGAGTGATGTGGCAGCGTTTATTTGTATTGGAAAGAAATCTGGCAGCAGCATTCTGGACTTTCTGCAGACGACTGAGGACGGATACATTTACACCGATAAGAACTGGTTTGGAAAAGTCGTCTGGATGTGATAAATGCATGGATAACTGATTCTAAGTGCGGCCTCTTCAGAATGGGCTTTAGTCGGGTAAGGCGACGAAGCTGGAAGCAGCAGGATCGAACAGTGGCATTTACATGTGCACTCACTGACAAGTCAGCATCCAGTTTAACCCCAAGGCTGGTCACACAGGAATTAAGGTTGAGGGGGGAGAGATGAAAGGCACCAGAAGTATGCAGGTTATGTTTAGGTCTGAAGAGGATGGCCTCGGTCTTATTGTCATTGAACTTCAGGAAATTGGAAGCTAGCCAGGTTTTAACTTCTGAGACATTCTGAGAGCTGGGTAATGGAACTTGACTGATTTAAAGCCATATAAATTTGACAGTCATCAGCAAATATGTGTTAATGTAAGCCCCGTTTAGCAATGATGTTTCCCAGTGGAAGAATATATATAGAAAAGAGGAGTGGACCTAAAATAGAGCCCTGGGGAACTCCCCAGGGGAGCGGGACAAAAGGAGAAGAGCAGTCGTCAATGTGAATGCTGAAACTCCTATCAGATGAGTGAAACCGCGGTCCCTGTGACTCCAAAAGATTCCAGTCTGGTTAGCAGAATGTTATGGTCAACTGTAGCGAAAGCCGCTGAGAGGTCCAGCAGTAGTAACAGCAGAAATGGCTCAGTGTAGGTGATCACCTTTGCCCTGAGGTCTGAGCTTTAAAGGATGAATGAGAGGCTCTTTGGTTTGAAAACTGCTGATTGGACAGAACTGATGCACGTGTCCCTAAGTGAAGTTCTCACCTTCACTGTGAAGCATGGCACCAAGCTCGTGTCCTTCCGGTGCATCTCGGACGCTCAAAGTAGGTGTCCCTGTGAGGGACTGGAGACCTGTCCAGGATGTCCCCCACCTCTCAGCAGGTGACCGATGGAGTTGGGACTCTAGTTCCCAGAAACCCTTGAAGCCTGATTTCAGGGCTGTACCAACATCTGCTGGAAGCTCGTCCATGACTGCAGTCCTCCTGCTGGACCATCGCCACAGCACTACCCAAGACTGCACTGGTTTGAAAGTGAAATGAAGACAACATGCTGCAGGTTGGTGTCAGTTCTTACTCTTTAATCATCTGCTGTCCGTAAACACACAGCTTTAATAAATAAGGCCTGAAGCAGGCCGGGGGGCACCAGCACACCTGGTTTCATTCCTCAGGTGAGCAAGGGGCTTCTGGAGGTACACTGGTCCTGCAGGCCTCTTCTCAACATGGTCCTCTGATGGCTTACAAAAATAAATCTAAGGTATGTGGGCTCACGCCGCCGGTCTGCAGATGGAAACCTGCACAGCATGAGGTGTGTAAGGCAACTGGAGTGCAGACTCATGCAGAGTGTGTGTGTGTGTGGCACAATGATCCAGAAACAAGGACTGGAACCTCTGGTGGCTCTGATGATCTTCTCATCCGAGACCCATCTGCTCATCTAAAGGTGCATGATCAGTGGAAACCATTCTACCCAGTCCACTTTCCAAGATTCACCAGTTGTCAGACTGGACTCGATCGTCTGCAGAGGGTCAGGATTTGGTTCAGACAACCGGGCGTTCTGGAGGTCTGATGGTTAACGAGGCACCAGAGGAACCCTGGGTGCTGTGGACCTGTGACTCTAGCTGGGGGAGGAAAGGATCACTCCAGGTCCTGAAGGTTGATGGTACTTCCTGTGAACTGGGAGTTGTCTGAGCCGTTGTCTTCTTCGGTCATCGCTGAGGGTTCCTGCTGCAGAAAAATCTCATCAGCCCACGTCATCAGCTGTCACACCTGCAGAACTATACACACACACACACACACACACACCAACAGGAGGTGTACTCGCCTGTAAAATGTTGACAGGAAGATCAGCAGTGAGCTGAGAGTGAGAGCTGGAGGCCTGGGAGCTCAGCTGGAAGGCCAGGTCACCATTACTGGCTGGGTCATCCTGCAGGTGCAAAACACACACACACACACACACACGATCAGATGGAAGGTTCTGGTTTTCTGCTCTTTATTCCAAAAGCAGGAACTATGATTGTGACTTCAGCCATGATGTGTGAGGAGTCGTGCTGACTCCAGCTCCAGACCCTGGTTAGATGAATCCTGCACCAGCAGCTGGATTAGGGAGCAGCATGAGCCGGGACCAGCTGGGTTCCTGGTTCTGTGAGGACGGGGCTACACGTGGGTCTTTTTCTCTCAGCAGCTTTATCCTCTCCACCATAGGCGTCATTTTAACCGGGGACGCCGGGGACATGTCCCCGGCAAAATTTGTGATTGGCAGCTGTGTCCCCCCCCACTTTCAAAAAAGCCTGCTGATGAGGATTTTTGTTTTACCAGCTCAGATCTTATACCAGGGGTCGGCAACCTGTTCCCATCAAAGAGCCATTATTACCCGTTTCCCACAGTAAAGAAAACACTGCAGCAGCCGTGGCGTTGTGGGCGGGGCCTAGCCTCAGACAGCAGAGCGCTGCTCACAACAGGTGACAGCAGCCGGTACCGGTCGCTCGCATGGGCGTCGCACCCGTGGGGGATTCAACACCCACACTTGTCCAGCTGTTTTGCTCACCTCCACACCAGTCTGGTTTCTTTATGTCGCACTAACTCTGTTTGCCTCATCTCCTTCTTCACCTCCGCTTCTGACAGCCGATGTCGGGTTCAAGGAGAGCAGGAGAGGGAGGGACGGAAGAGCTCGACTGAATAATTTTACATCTTGACATTAGCTGTACAAAGTCTGAGTTTGATAAAGAGAAGAACAACAATTTGCAGAGGTTTATAACAGGCGCGGCGCCAGGTTTTCCTTGTTGGGTGGGCCACGGTAATTCTGGACGGACCTTAATAAGCAGTGACTTAGTGAAGCAGGCAGGACGCGCTAGAAAATGTCGTTTAAAAAGACGTCATAAATGTTTTCCCCCGTCATTTTTATTTATAAAATATGAAGTAAAAACTCCCAATTTAATTTTCATTCATTTGTCATTAATATGTAGTCTACACCCGTGCGTTAAGTGGACCATCTTCCACTAAACGCAAAGCATCCCGCCCACCTCTCCAAATGCGTAAAATGTGCATCAGCCGCTAGTTAGGCGCGCCGCGCGCACCGTCAGCTACGTCAGCCCAGGCAAGAGCAGAGCAACTAGAGAAAGAATAGAGGATAATTGTGTCTGGATGTGGATGGAGATTACATTTTACAGCAGCCTGATCATCATTTAAATACGTAAACCATCACCTGTCTTCTAGTCCACGCTATCAGCATTGTTTTATCTGGTGTGTGTGTGTGTGTGTGTGTGTGCGTGTGTGTGTGTGTGTGTGTGTTTTCCACTTCACTGGTCTAACCAACCAGACCAGTGTGTCCAGTAACATATTAAACTTACACTTCATGTAGGCTAGGAACGTTTCACCTGCCGTGGCCCGACCGCTTCTGCTCCACATAAACTTTGTGCGTGATCAAATGTCTCTACAGGAGCTTTCTGAGCTGAAGAGGCGACTGGATGCGTCATGCGTCTCCATATTGGAGACGGGAACAAGCGCTATTCAGCCAAACTTTCATAATTTCATAAAAATAACATTTTTCCAAGTGACACATCCCTCAGAGAGACCGGGTTTCCAGACCGCTTCAGTGGGAGGAAATCAACCAACATCCTTGAGTTTATCCGTCAAAATAAAAGTCTAATGTAAATATCTGTAAGCTGCCATTTAACTCTTTTGCCTTCTTGTGAAGATTGTTGCAAAGAGAAACAACTAAACCTGATTAACCCCAGAGCCACGCGCACTGCGCTGTACTTCTGACTGTAAATGAGGGGAAACGATTTAATCGGATCCTTTTCTTTCCAACATGGTTTCATGTAAAGTTTCATTCAGTACAAACTTTAGTTACACCAGTCTAACGAGACAGAGCCTGGATTTGTATTCTGAACAGTTTAAACATGTTTAAAACGGAGACGTGCGTGACGCGTCTAAAAATCACACCTGCTCCGCTATTATGGAAATTAAACTAACAAGATGAATAACATGAAATTATTTTAGGCACAGACAACATCTCCCACACTTTTGAAAAGCTTGCAACGCGCCTGGTCGCTCGTGTACGTCAAAGTTATCTTTCATAAGACGATAATCAATAAAACTATTAAATAAAGTGGATCCAGAAGCTGTAGCCCGTCTCTGCCTTCAATAATATTTTACTGAGCAGGTGCCACTTTTGTCATACGTTTCTTTTTAAAACATGTTTAGACTGTTCAGAATACAAATCCGGGCTCTGTCACGTTTGATTGTTGTAACTAAACTTTGTAGGTGGGGAAGGTCAGATAGCAGCTCATAAAGCGCCGATATGATTACGCACAAGCGTGACGCATCAACCCGGTCTCACAGTAAGACCGGGTTGGACCTGTTCAGGTTTACGCAGACAATCTTTACATTTAGAATTAGCTTACAGATGTAAAATTAAAGCAGTAAAATATAAAGCATTTTATTTAAATATCAATTCATTATTTTACAAGCACAGAGAGCCGCATCAGACGGATGGAAGAGCCGCCGACCCCTGTGCTAGCCTACTTTATTGTCCCCAGCAATTTTTAAGCCCCACTCAAGTGTATGGTTATTGTCCCCAGCAGTTCTGAAAACAAACTGACACCCTTGCTCTCCACTATTTAAGCATCTCCTCTGGAGCTGTGATGTTGGCACGAGCTGCTGGAGTCAGCAGCCTCACTGATCCTCAGCTGTGAGGAGAATGTGCTGAACACACACACACTGGCTAACAGATGACGGGTTCTGGGCTCGGGCTGAATGTGGCCCATCTGATCTGATGGTTGGTGAGAACGGTGGCTGAGGAACACCAGACACACAGAACCTCGCTTAGAGCTGGGTCCAGGTAGCCGTGTGCTCAGACCTGCAGCAGCTGGATTTGGATGTACTGGGCCCCAATGACATGGTCCCTCAGCGCGAGGCCCCCAGCAGCTGCTACAGCTCCATCACTATAACGGGGGGGCAGCACTGCCATGGCAACCCTGGATCCCTTGGTGTTTCTCTGACAGGACGTTCCTGGACAGTGGAAAGAGAAATAAGTGTGTGTGTGTGTGTGTGTGTGTGTTCGGACAGGTAAGAGCTCTGTACCTGGTGGACCTGAGGAACCTTTCTGCTTCTTCTTCTTCTTAGCCATCTGGATAGCTCTGTAGTCGGTCCTGGCTGAGCCTCCGCTCTCCTACGGAGGGAAAACAAATGTTCCTTCTGCCGTGGTTCTGACTCATGTTCTCATCAACACCCAGACTCCAAACACACGGGTCCTACTTATTACCTACTGCCGAGGAAAACAAGCCAGCTGTTACTTTAGGTCAGCACATGGAAGGGCCTGGGCCACCAGACCCGTAGAAGCTTATGGGCCATTCCCATCTGTACCGGTTCGGCCCGGGCCGGGTAGCGTAGGTTGTTTACATATCTGGGTGGCCTGGTATTTTTCCGGGCCAACCAAGGCTCATTCTCAGCCCTCTTCTCGAGGGGGTCTGCTTCAGGCCGACCAGGGCCAACACACCCACTGCTGACAGCAAATCCACACCTTCCATTAGAGCAAGCCTCTGATTGGTGGGTAGAGCCAGCCCACATGGGCTTAAGGCAAGGATGTGTGGAATCAACTGGGCCAGGCTGGGGCCGACTGGGGCTACCCGGCCCGGGCCGACCCGGCACCTTCAGGTAAGCGGAGGTAGGGTTGGTGCACAGGTCTAGTGCGCGTGAGCCCGTTACTGTTCTAACCCTTCTCATGATAGGAACCGCTCTACTAAAGAGGAGCTCCATCATTAAAGACATGAAGCTCACTTAGGAGACTCCAGGACCTTTGAACACATCTTCCAGCTCATTTTAAAGCCCTTTCCACAGAGCAGAAGACTCCACCGAGGGCAGCAGCAGGGCCCACCTGAAAGCAGACCATGGAGGGAATTCAACCCCTGGTTAGATTGCTGCAAACCCCCCTCAGAGGAAGAACCAGAGACTTGTCTCAACACAAAGACGGACGTGAGACCTGTGACCATCTACGACCCGTAGTGTTATGAGCTCTAACTGGAGACTGGTGGTGCCACCAGCCCTGCATCAGGTGGCCTGGGATGAGACTTGGCCTCTCGGGGAACTCCTTCAGCAACATTCCACGGGACCGTTTTATGGAGCAGGAGAAGAATGTCGCAGAAAACCTTCTGCCAGCCTGACCCTTTCTCTGAGAGCAAGTCCACGCCTTCTTCTCCTGCTCTGCTTTAGCAGGCTGACCAGCCAGCCCCATGCTTAAGGAACCCTCCTACTGAAATAACCCCGCCCCCTGAGAATTCTAACTGAGCCAATCGGCGCTGAGCAGCGTATGTCATACACCATGGCCCAATCCCAACACTCGCCCTGCGGTCTTCAGCAAAGGCACCTGGAGAAGGTGGTAAATGGTAAACGGCCTGTATTTGATATAGCGCCTTCTAGAGTCCTGGAACCCCCCAAGGCGCTTTACAACACAATCAGTCATTCACCCATTCACACACACATTCACACACTGGTGGGGATGAGCTACATCGTAGCCACAGCTGCCCTGGGGCGCACTGACAGAGGTGAGGCTGCCGAGCACTGGCGCCACCGGTCCCTCCGACCACCACCAGCAGGCAACGAGGGTTAAGTGTCTTGCCCAAGGACACAACGACAGCGACAGACTGAGCGGGGCTCGAACCTGCAACCTTCCGATTACGGGGCGAGCGCTTAACTCCTGTGCCACCGTCGCCCGTGCAGTAGGGTTCGAGTACGTCGTACACAAGGGAGACAGTAACTGCAGAATTGAGACGGGGAGCATCATCATGGATCACAACCCGCATGCCGGGATGCTGGTCGCTGCGACAGTTTTCAAAAACCTTTATTAACAACTTTCAAACAAACAACGAAGAAATTATTTGAAATGAAGTCAACTTCATTGCTGCTTTGTCTAAAACTTTCAGAGCATCAGCTAATCGTCCTAAAACGAACTATACATATTTTTAGAAAGGGAACTTGAGCCTTTTCTCCTGCAGCAATGACTTGTGGGTAATACCCTTGCCTGCAGGCAGGGTTGGGCATCGAGCATCGATTGGAACCGGTTCCAACTTTTCATTTTTCCCGGAATCGTTTTTTTATTTCGATTCCTAGAATGCCAAGGGAAGAGGAATCCACGGCTGATCTCCGCGAAAAATTAACGTGGAAAATAAACGTGATCTGCAAATTGTGATCAACACTTTTCAGAGCTGATCACCCCAGCTGGCTGTGTGCAGCACGAGTCCCCCCCCCCCCCCCCCCCCAGATATAAACAATCACGTCTGCCGAACTTTAACTCCGTGATGTAAACGTTAACTCCTGCAGCGTAGAGGAAACGTGTCAAAGACGTCAACACGGTGGAGTTAATAGAAGCTTAAAGAACAAACTCTGGACGGTGTGAGGTGATTTTTGTCTCACTGCAGAAATAAAAACACACACAGAGCATCAACAGTCAGACGCAGCCGCTCACCCACACTCGTGTGTGTGTGTGTGTGTGTGTGTGTGTGTGTGTGTGTGTGTGTGTGTGTGTGTGTGTGAGAGCATCAGAAGGCTGAAAATAACCTGTAGAATAATTTAAGTCATCATGCTAGAGCAGCTTCTCTGTGGTGGACCACACCAACTTCTGCCACAATAAATAATTATAATAATATTAATAATAATATTATCATTAATAATAATATTATTATTAATGATAATATTAATAATAATATTAATAATAAATAACATTTTAATTACCTTTCTGAAAGAATTACCTGTCTTGAAAGAATCGGGAATCGATAGGAACCGGAATCGAAACGAGGAACTGGAATCGGAATCGTTCAAAATCAAAAGATGCCTACCCCTACCTACATGTCCGCATTGCTGCAGACTTGGGTGAAGTGGAGATTACGGGTGCAATGGGGGCGTGGTCAACTTCCGCACTTGAGAATCAGGACACGACACACTCACACCCCTGGCTGTGAACACGTAACTGAGGGGTGGAAGTTTGAGAGTTGGGATTGGGCCCACGGCGCTGAGAATCTCATAAACGGATTTCTGTGCAGCTCTTTCCTGTTCTGGATGACTTGAACACGTCTTTAGAACCACAACAAGTAGAAGCGCTAAGAGCCTTTCTTCTAAAGCAGGGATTCCCAAAGTGCGGAGGGGGTGTGCGAGGTGAAAAGTGTAATGGCTGCGGAGCTCAGAG